ACTTCTTAATCGAAGCCAAAAATTCATCAATTTTTAATTTATACATTGAATTGTTTTACTTTATATCAATGAAAAAATAAAATAAAATAAAATATACAAAGAAGAAATGGTTTTTTTTCGTCTATTTAAATATATAGAAGAACTTTGTTAAACCGTTAAAATATTATTTCCATCACTGTCTTCGAATTATTATCACTGAAGTGTATACAATTTTCAAATAAAAGTAAAAACAGAAACACGGCTAACGCAAATTTTTGTTTGCACGATATTAATTATCTTTCGATTAAAAATATATGATATTTATTATAATATGTATATTTTATCTATCTTGTTTTTATATATATCGCACATCTAAAAAAATAAAAATAAAATAAAGCGTAAATCCTGCTTCCGCCATCATGGGCGAATGTGATTGTTGTTCGTATTTTGTGCAACAATTTGACACGCTGAGATATGTGCTAAACAATATAATAATAATATTAATAATAATAATATTAAAAGTAATGATAATAATAATAAGAATAATAATATTAATGATAATAATAATATTAAAACCAGATTGTAGTTCCTTGGGATGGACGAGCGATAAATTATGTGAAATGAAGTCAATAAATGTACAAACGCGTGTTCACCTAAATATTCTATTCATTTTATGTAATACACACGTGTACATGCGCGCCTACACATATACATTCATGCATCATACTTCTAAGAATTAGAGATATTTCATTTTCATTCGTATCTTCTTTTTAACCATCCCCTATTTACAATCCGATCCTGGTAATTCATCATAGTTTGTAAAAGAATCAAAAGGATACTAAAATTTAATTCAAGTAAATAAGCAAAATACGATAGAGCGCGTTTGCGTAAATAATAATAAATAATATAAATTCGTAGAATGTCGTTTGTTGCACGCGTGTGCAAGTGCATGCAGTTTCTGAGTGTTTAAGAGAAAGTTAAGGAAAATATATAACTCGGCCCCTTGAAAAATTATCCAATTAAAAGAAAAAAAAAGAACAAAATTTTCCTTTTTACATTAATTTAAACCTCGACGAAATTGTGTCGACTTTGGTTTAGCGTTTTATCTTTCTTTTTATCTAGAAAACGGAAAATATAATATATACGTGTTGGTTTTATACGTACGCATGCATCCACCCACACACTTACTTTCAACAATCGTCTTTTGGTATTATTGTTCGCGCGAATCTTCCGTCTTGCGAAAGATGCGGAAATGACGACATCTCGAACGAAAAGCTTTTCTATTTAGGAACAAGGTAGTACGCGAATTTCATTTCGCACACTTCTCTCTCCTTTCTTATACATACATATACACACACACGCAGACACACACAACATACAGTCGTATTCAAATTAACGTAAGTAGGCATACCAATCTTCTTCCATTTTAGTTCTTCAATATTTATTTTTTCCCTTTCAAACTCCTCCTCCCCATTCATCCACTATATATTTTCATTCGACACATTCTCCATTTTGTTCTCCATCTTGATTATCCACCATCTTGAAATGTCCCGTAAAAATGGCGGATGATAAATAATAGGATAAGAACCGAAAGACCTTGACGATAGATGATTATAATAATGATGATGATGATGATGATTGACGAATGAAAGACTCCGAGACCTTTTTATACGTGTCTTCAAAGACCGCCAGCGGCCATTTTATAAAAATTGAATTTTCAATTATTATTAGTCAATGGGAAAACACGTTGGACGGTATCGAAGATCCATCACATCTGAACTTTTATATTATATGTTTCTTTTTCTTCGTCCTGTATAATCTGATCCATAATTATTTTTTTTTCTGCCTTTTTTCTTGTTTTCGTTTATTAAAATGTATTCCTGACCGCCCCCCCCTTCCACGCTGCACAACTTTCAAATCTTTCTTTCTTCGTTCAACACATTCGAAAGTTTTGTTTAAGTCGCATCCCTGAGAGACCACCACTATTTTCTACACATTTTGTTTCTATTTCTCTCCTTCTCTTTCACTGTATATAATATAATCTTCGTTCGCAATTATAAAGAGCGTCCCTTTTTTTTTTCATTTTCATTTTCAATCTCGTTAAAATGTTGTATCATGAGTAACATACCTAAAAGAGTATATATATATANATATATATATAAATATATTTCTTTTTCTAATAACTTTTGTCTATAAATGTGAAAGCCAATCGAACTTTAAACGATCAGGTTCGTCAATCATTATTCATATCTTTCAATTCCGTATATGCGATTCTTTTACGATAAACGTTGCTTTCGGTAGGCCCATATTTTCTTCTGGCACCCATAGTTGACGGCCCTGGCACAGTGTACTGTCTACGTTTGTACATCACCATTCTGGAAAAAATTAGAACAAAAAACAAAGAAGATTTGGATTAGTACAATTTAACGTTATTATTATTGCCTAAGGTATTAACGAAAGAGAGAGAAAATTGACGATCATCGAAAATATTTTCAACAGAAATAACATGATCGATCACGATCTTAAATAATACGTTTTCTTTCATATTGAATTTTTAGAAAATATGAAAAAAGAAAAAAAAAAAGAAAAGGGACTACTTGTCGATTAGATACTTTCTTTTTTGTTTCTTTTTACATAAATTTTAATTCATTTCGTTTTCTTATTGTTGAGTTTGAAAATGACTTTTGGTAAACTATAAAGGTGGTTGCATTTGAAATTTTCGTGGGGGTTTTTTTTTTTTTTTTTTTAAGAGACGACGAAAATAAACTGTTACACATAACTAGATACTATCAGAGTCTCGTGATAACGTTTTATGGATTATTATTATATCGGTGTTATGAAACAAGTACAGTTTCTAGAATAATCATCCTAGAAACGAAGAGAAACCAAAATCGTCAAGGATACGATATGGTAGTTCCATCTGTTGGAAAATTATTGCAATCAGGATTTACTATATTTCCAAGGATTATTTAATTTGAATCCAGTGGAAACTTTCGTTCTTTATTCTTTTTTTTGTTTTAATTTTATTTTATTTTAATACACCTACGCGTGTGTATAGTTCGTTACGAATAGCCTTGACAAGTGTTGTTTTTCTTGATAAACAAAATAAAAAGAAACTAATGCGCATAAATGCGAATATACTACGTGTGGACGGGTATTAAAGAGATTATAAAAGCAAGAACGATTTTGTTTATTCAAGTCGTCGTTCAAACTTCTTTGATTAAACGAACAGAAACACTTTGATGTGGTGGTGGTGGTGGTAGTGGTAATGGTGGAAATTGTTTGACTCTCGTAGTATCAAAATGGAGTTATTTTATGAAAATATAAGGACATTGATCTTATTAATTATTATTATTATTATTATTAAAGAAATAAATTTAAAACAAAAATCATCCCCGAAAGTATAACATCTCGTTAATTAATTAAATCGAATTAGCAACAAATCAAACTTACCAGTTTCCAAAAGTCATTTTAAACGACAACAATAATCTCAAAACCAAAACCTTATATATATTATATTAAGTTGAATTATAATAAAATTTAATATATATATATATATGTTTTATCCCTACACATTATAGCAGGAATTTATTTTTGAATTTTATTTACAAATTATCGATAATATTAGTTTCTTATTATATTAACAACAAATAATAACAAATCAACACAATTATTCGAAGATACGTATATAAAAGATTATAGAAAATATATTATTCTTAGGATACTAGAAATGGTTCCAAAAATGTCTTCATTTATTTATTATTAAATTTATGATTAGATAAGAGAAATTAGGATATAGTGTTGGGATGTATGCTTCAATTGAAAAAAATTTGTAATACAAGAAAACAAAAAAAACCACGTTAAATAAACAATGCATTTACTATCTAATGTTAAATAATATATCAAACGAAATTAAATATCATTTTCTTGTACCCCATGCATTCTTAATTATTCCTATTATATCATTTTATTAACTTTTATTATTTATTTATTTTAAATCGCTATATATATATATATATATATATATATATAT